ATATTACCAATCCCTTCCCTTTCTCTCTCACAACCATCAAAGAAAACTTGTAAATGTTACTAAAAAGTTGTTTAGTAATTTACACAGCTTCGCTTTAGGTTTAAAGATGGAGGAGAACTTTTTTGCATTCCAAATTACTATTCCAGAAGCACATATGCAGGCTTTCTCTCTCTGTCAGAGGTTGAGAGGATCAGAAGAAAACAAATTCTGACACTGGCTATATCTGTACATAGAGTTAGAAAATCCTAGATTTATGTGCTACCTACAAAAATTCTTCCTGGACAAAATTTGTAACAGAGCAAAATTACATGAGAGAAAGTCCAGCAAAAAACAGCTTTACACAGGGCAATTAAACACAGTGGTACTGTAGTACTTCAGCCCTGAGAATCCATATGAACACCTGCCAAAAACATATCACCTTTGCAAGCAAATTTTCTGCTTCAAAGCATTTGTCTCCTCTGACTTAAATTTCTGGATTCTTCATGTATTATCCCCCATACCAATACAGTAGATGTCATATACGTCTTTTGCTTTTCAAGTTGCTTCAGATTCTTTTCTCAATAGCCTTGATCAAGTGACAGACTGGAGACAACTTACCTGTTGTTATGCCTTTAATACTTTTTAGAAGAATGTCTACTTATTTCAGAGTGCCTCCAGCCAGCAAGATGATGTAGGGGGTGATACGAAGACTATAAAAAAAGGGTCACTGGATGGTTGAGGAAAAAAACAGAGCTTCCGTCCTCATTTAACAGTTATAGTAACTCAACACCTCCTCCATCCCACAATATAACATCTATATACTATGATGACAAAAATATAATATGGAATTTTGCAATATGGCCAACATTGAATCCACAGGAGATGTTCATCGCTTTTTTTATTACATTTTTCATCATTTAGCTGTGCTGTTTTGATTTCATTATGAGTAAATACCTTTATCTAACTTTTAAATGGAGAAACAAAAAGTTGCAGAATAGCTTTTCCCCTTTACTCACTACTTGTGAAATCAATACCTCACATGTTGTGGATCTTCTGTTCTCTTGTTTGATTACACCTTAATCAAATGGGTCTTGTGTTCATGATTAACTTGAATTTAAGAATTTGGAAAAATCATTGAAATCACTAGAAGTATCAGTTATATTATCTAACTTTATCTGTAAAACAGTTAAGGATCAAGTTTAAGCTAACAGTTTAGGCTCTGATCAATCAGTAAAGAAAAGCCTCTGGACTGTAATTCACTATGAATAATTAATCACTACAATGAATCATTATCCATTTAACAATATTTTAGATGTTATAGATGCTCTGAGGTGTTAGGCCTTCAAGTGTGAAGAAAATGACGTGGAGCTGGACATGCAGCCAAGTAAACACACTGTCCTTGCTCTGTGCAAGGAGCAAGCCAGCAATGGTGGGAAAGTCCATCTGTGTTAGCATATGACACTGATACATGTGTCAGACCTTTTTAGTACAGACATGGATGTGTGTTGACGTGACTTGCAGACCTAGATTTTTTCCTGCACGCAGGCTTCAATCTCATCACCATTTCCTTCTATTCTATTTCTATCCTTAAATCATCAGTATCCACCACTGCTATATTTCATGAGTATTAACTACCTTTTAATAGCTAAATGAAAGGAAAAGTTAATATCTTGTCTCCTAAATCTCTGCATCTGACCAGAACAGATTTATATGGGACATTCTAAAGGTAGAATCGTGTGAATGATTGCTGAGCGTTTCTGGAAAGTATCTGAAAGTATCCTCGACATTTTAATCCTATGTAATTATCCTGTATTAATTATAAGACATTTAACACAATTGTAAGGCTGGAGGGCATACGGAGAAAGTATTTTTCTAGTCTCAAATGCATAAACATGCAGAAGTTTTCAAGATATAGTATGATATGTACCTGTGTGTTTGAAGGCACAGCTCAGTAATGCCTGGTAAAGAAAAATAGTGTGGAGAGGAATTGAAATCAGAGTAGAAGGTAAAATATTTCAAAAGAACATATCAATTTGTACTAAACAAATATAGAAAAAGTGACCAATGCATTTTTATTTAAGAAATTGCTGAAAAACTAGGAACTCAGATCCATGGAAAAGGTATTTTAAAATTCAGACATTACTCTCACCCTTTTCCTGAAATAAATATATGCTATATAGATCTAATCTTTGTTCTTTTTCACGGGAGATTGCCCCCCCCCCCAAAAAAAAAAAAAAAAAAAAAGGAAAAAAAAAAAAGAAAAATTGCATCCAATAGTTTTTTCAAAACGTTTTTGTTTCCAGTGATATTTGTGAAGAATTTTCATCAAATTCAATAACACTTGTCCCAAATAATATACTGCTGAAAATAATTGATTCTTATAATTTCTTCTAGATGTAAATGTAAAACTATAACTCATATTTTCTTCAATTCAAAGGGAAAAAACCCACAGCAATGTCTATCACAGTCACCAATGACCTCTTAAAAATTTTATTTCAGTTCAGATGAATAAGAAGTTTAATTATGGTATTTCTGAAGTCAAGTAGCATTTTTTTCCTCACTGGTGCTAAGATTTACGAGTAGTATTCAACAGATTATTTCCAAAAATTATGAGAAATCTTCTCTTTGAACTCAATTGAAGCTTGAATAAAGTTACTCTTCGGAGCCGACTGTGAACAGGGTTATAATAAACAAGGAAACTATATTCCCATGGATGTCTGCTGAAACAAAATAAAAATGGATTATAATGATTATAAGATTTAGCAATTATGCATCTTACATTAAACTCATATTAATGTTAGAGACATTTCTACTTTTGCTCCTTTTAAAAAAAAAAAAAGCTGTGGATCATTTGAAAAGATGAAAATATGTGCATATGTTAGCTTTTATTGAGGATTTAATGAGTTTTCTGGAACAGTCACATAATGTTATTCTTTCACATCCTCACTCAGATATATTTCATTTCATTCTCACACAAGTCACAGAGGAGGAATAGGTATATTTTTATTTCAGATGTAAAATTCATACCTCACTTGTAAGTTATGCAAGGAAAATAAGCTTCATTAAACAGAACTACAAGTTGTCTGCGAATAGTGATTTGCAGTTAGGGAGTACTTTCTTTGAAAATTGTTACATCTACAAATCTAAAGTAACTTTTTCTCCTTGAAAAACTCCAGTTATTACCTCATACTGACTAAGAAAAAAGTGAGGGTTTTTTTAAATGACCCATAGAACAACAAGTTTGCTCTTTATTTCCTGTGTTATACACATTTACTTTCTGTAACAGACATGAAAGCAAATTTAAAAAAAAAAATAGTTAAATGTAATTTAAAGGAAATTTTCTAAATACATTAATTTCAGAATAATCTCATAACAGCTAAATGAGACAATTTTCGTGGTTTATAATGTCCTCATTGTTTCTCAGAAGTATACACTATGAAATAATTCCACTCAGTTCTATTCAGCAGAAATGATTTTCTTCCATGACAATACAACAAAAGCATTTTTGCCACTGATTTTACTTGAAATGCAGCTGAAGGGCAGATAAGCAAAAATAGGCAACAAGTATGGCACCTTTATGTTGCCAGATAAAGTGTACCTGAACACCTACCTCATTCATAAAACAGTATTTACTGAGTACTATTGCACTGTACCAGCATAAAGTATTCCTATTGTGGACCTGTGTTGTGACTGATAAAGTTAAGTGAAACACTTGGCCACGGTGGCTGTTTTGCAGCCAACAGTCATGACATAACTATAGAAAGAGTACAAGCATATATGGAGTTTACACTGAAAGATGAACACAAAACAAGACATAAAAATTCTCCAGAAAGTCACTCAAGAAAAAGCATAAATTTGACTGTCAAAGTGTGTGATTAGAAATAAAATATGAGAGCTAATAAATGGAAAAGAATTATTTTTAACAAACTAATATTATTTGTACTACTTCTAACATATATAAATAACTATCAAAGTATAGAAAATCAAAATATGTAGCTAAAGATGTGAAAGAAATATCATAAATGGTAAGGCTAAACACAGTAAGTTTTATTAGTGCATCAGAGACAGAAATATCCTATTTATTCTTCATATTTGGAATTGAAGAGGTTGGAGTACTTGTGACAGATAAGAACGGGAAATTCTTTTAATCTTCTAATTGAAAAGTATGTAAAATAACTTCTAATAGGGATCAAAATTTGTAAATTAGAATCATACAAGCTGTATAGAACAGTCCTCAAACCTATAGGACACCAAAAGTTGAAATCAGCTATCAAGAAAGCAATTTAAGATTAATAACAAGCAAATTATGAAGCTTCTATGGTGATACAGAGGGCGGAAATAAAGAACTCACAGGATCCACACCCATCATATGATCCGCAACCAACTATAAAAAGAAAAAGATATACATGATTGGAGTGCTGAAGAAAACGAGATCAGGGATTTTTTGTTTACTAAGAAAAAAAAAGGGTGATTTGATTTCCATACATGTCTTTCTTCCATGGGAGAGAGTCATAAAGGACAATTTTGCAAGAAATGATGTGTATTCACAAGCTGTACCAAGATGTAGTGGCACTGAAATCCTCCACCTAGATGGACACTATCATCTACTGATGTCCTGAACTGCAATTTCATTGCAGGAAAATTTGGATGCGTTGGAATTTGTTAAATTCATCCAGGTTTTGAAGTTCTTATTTTCTTTCGCCTATCGAGTGGAAGTGTTCAGGAGTAAAGCACAGAGTGCTAAAGAAGCTCTAGAGAGAGTATTTCAAGTGATCAAGTGATTTTTCTTGATCTCGATAAAAACTTGGCCTCCCCTGTGGATGAAAGAGACACATTCCATGTAGCAAACCATTTATTAAGGAGTCCCTACAGAAAGTGAGGTATATCAAGCATTATATGAACCTTAATTGTGGCTATATTTTATTGCTACTTAGATTATTAAGTGTTTAAACTACCAGATAACAGAATCTATATGTTCAATAGTGGAAGAGTGCTAACAGTAATTTTATTAAATATTTCAGCCCTGTGCCAACAATCTCTTGGAGGAAAGTTAATGGTCATAATCCAAGTAAAGCCCGCCTGAGAAAATCCCAAGCTGTACTTGAAATACCTAATGTGCAGCTAGAGGACGCAGGAATGTACGAATGCAAGGCTGAAAACTCTCGTGGAAGAAATGTCTTCAGAGGACAACTGCAAGTGTACAGTAAGTGTAACTGCACAGAATCAGAATTATCCACAAAATCTTTGTCCACACTTAGGGCTTTAACTTTCTGTGGAGGAAGCTAAGTTGCAGTAGAAACGAAATATCTTTCTTCTGAAATAAATTAGTATTGAATTAAGCTATATATTTTTATTACTTAGTAATGTATTAAATTCATAATAGAAATAAATTTGACTCCTTCAAAGAACTGGCTTAAAGACAGTTTCATGTTTGATGTTTATGGGTTTGGTTTGTTTTTCAAAAAGTATCAGTATAATTTTAGAAATTATCTTTTTTCTCCTAAGCATGATGTATCTGTCATAAAACAATATTAGAAATATCTTAGGATTTTTATCACAGTTTTATTAATGTTTCACCCTTGCTATGCCTGGGTGCTGAGTTTTGTCAAATTCATTGTACAGGAATGAGAATCGGAGAAGTGTTTCTGTTTTTGTAGAAAATTCTCAGTATAGGCATGCACAATTTCTGAAGGTTCTGATTTCAGAAAGTCCTGAATATTTTCTCTCCAAGACTGGTCTTTCTAAAGGTTTTTTGAGCGAGCATAAATAAAAATTGAATCATGCATCACGTTGAAAAGAAAAAACACAACCTGAAACTAAAAATATCTAGTAAAACCGTGGTTTAACCACAGCTGGTGACTAAGCCTCACACAGTCACTCGCTCACTCCCCTCTGGTGTGATGGAGGAGAAATCGGAAGTGTAAAAGTGAGAAAACTCATGGGTTGAAATACAGTTTAATAGGTAAAGCAAAAGCTGCGCACACAAGCAAAGAAAACAAGGAATTCATTCACCACTTCCGGTGGGCAGGCAGGTGTTTAGCCATCTCCAGGACAGCAGGGCTCCATCATGCCTAACAGTTTCTTGGGAAGACAAACGCCATCACTCCAAACATCTCCCCTTCCTTCTTTTTCCCCCAGCTTCTTATTGCTGAGCATGACACCATATGGTAAGGAATATCCCTTTGGTCAGTTGGGGTCAGCTGTCCCAGCTGTGTCCCCTCCCACCTTCTTGTGCACCCCCAGCCTACTCGCTGGTGGGGTGGTGTGAGGAGCAGAAAAGGCCTTGGCTCTGTGTAAGCACTGCTCAGTAGTAATGAAAACATCCCTGTGTTACCAACACAGTTTCCAGCACAAATCCAAAACATAGCCCCATATTAGCTACTGTGAACAAAATTAGCTCTTCCCCGGCCAAAACCAGCACAAGTAAAAATAATTAATTTTATATATGTTGCTGCATCCTAGAGGCTAGAAACAAAAGCCTGTACAAGACATGCTCTTAATACTTATGAGTCAAAGTTTTCCTTACATTGAATGTATGCTTGAGTCCCACCTACTGCTTCTCAATTAAAGCTACATCACTTGCTATCACTCCATGAATCCTACAGCCTTAAATATTTAGCAGGAAAGGTCTACTGCGGGAGATCATGCAATGAATCTTTCAGATTCTGAATTGTTTTCTGTCTTCAAATGTCGCAGTCAGTGGAATTCTAATTGCTGCAGTTCAGACAGATCCTCAGGCTAATACCTTTAAGGAGTCTTTCCTGTTTTTCAGTTTTCTTTTTCTTTTCTTGATTTCAGCCCATGGCTTGTAGTGCTTTCTCCCCACTACTAACTATATGCAATTCTGTTACACGCTTTCATCAAATAACCATAGACTGTGATCATCTATTGTTATCTATTTATTTTCCACATATGTCAATATTTCCAGGTGCATAATCAATTTTCTTGTCTTCTCTAGATTTCCAATGTCTTTATCTTAACTCCTCTGTTTTAGTGAGCAACAGCATATCTCGAGATGATGCTTCTCTCCTTGCTTTTTGTTCTCATCCACCTAAAGCCAAGGGAAGTTTCTGTCTTCATGTTTTTTTGGTATATGCTCGGAAAAATATATGATGGCAAAGATGGTAGTTAGCAGGTTTTGTTTTGGGCATGCCATCCATACTGCACTGGCAGCAAAGGTTTCATAAGGCTTTTACGGAAAACAGCAAAGTCCTACTTTGATGCCTCCTACTATGCCAATACCCCAGCGATATTTCTCTGGTATTACAAATTCTTACTGTCAATCAATCCCATGAAAGTATAGCAGCTCCTGCTAGGGACCTGGGGGCCAGGGACATTTAGCAGCATGCCTGGTCTTTTTTGACAGCATTTCTTAAAATGTTTGAAATTCAAAAAAATTAAATTTGATTTATAAGATATACCCTTGCTCTTACACTTACTAGCTGTGTTCTAGAACTGTGAAACTACTAGATGCCAAAGCACCTTATAAAACTGTTACAATTATCTCTTCCTCCCTCTTTTAAAGTTAAAGGAATATAAAAGGTGCTGTTCAAGAGAGAAACTAAGATGCTGGAAAATAAAATTATTTCCTAAAGAGCACCCTGCAGACTTGTGGCACAAAATCACAGCAAACATGATGCCTCTCTCATTAGCCTAGACACATTTTTGTTCTGAGCAAAAATAAAGATGATACTCATATCTTGGAGTCCATAGAAAACATTTTCTATGTCAGTTTTGTTCTACTCTGTCCAGATAGAAATACGAGTTTTTAATTCCTATTGTTAAATTTTTTACAGTCACTGCCTTTATGGATAGTGAACAATTTGATCTAATTGGTATTTTTTACAATACTATTAGAACAACTTCTTTAACATTATAGAAATATGGTCCACTTCAGATTGTCTCATTCCTCTGATTGACAGATACGTGGGACTAGTATATAATTGAGTTTCTTGTAGGTCTATTACTAAACTTTAGACTATCTTACAGGTAAGTCAAAAACCAGATCTGAGTCAGTTTAGCCAAATGTTGCTTTATGAAATTGTCAGCTTCCTTTGCTGACAGCTGATACGGCAGTATTCGGGGTGCATTACTTGAAACAGCATTTCCTGCTGTACCTCTTATTCATAACAACTGTCAACATGAATTATTTACCTTTAAGCTCATTGTCTTTTCACTGACATCTTATTCCTGCAGGAGACAACAACTATTTTGGCTCAGAAATTCAGATGTAGGCCATCGTTCTTTACCAGGGGTTTCTTGTAAAATTTCAGAGCAGGCGGTAGGACCAGCTGTGTCATACTGCAGTCTCACAATTTGCATATCTCTGTAGGAACTCACTTGCTGTCTGTTTGAATTTTCTTTATTTCATCAGTTGCATCTGATCTGGGTCAGAGTATTTTGGAGAAAGCCCAGGATGCCTAGTCTGCCTGTCTGGTCACATTTAGTCACAAACTAGTGATTTTTCGTTTCTTACCTGACGCTGCAATCCAGATATACCATGACTGCCTGATGCAGCTGACACTTCCGATGTTGTTCAGAAAGTGGTATTCTGGATGCTGACAATTTCAGCTGTTGTAGTCTCAGCACTTAGAGTAAATTCAGCTGTAAAAGTGACAAAGGCATTAAAAACATAATTTTGATAGTGCAAGACATCCTCATATGCGCTGCAACCTATTTTGAGAGGTGTGATTTTTCCCCAAATGATCTGCTCATCCTGCAGGTTTCCAAGAAACTTTATTCAAGTTCAAATTGAGTAATAGAAGAGACAACAAAAATTAAAATGTGGGTGGAGAAATTGTAATCACGGTTCCTCCACAAATCCTGGCTAGCAGCATTTTCGCAACAGTAAGCGATGGTTTGTGCAGTTCCTGCTCCTCTCTCACTCTGAACCTCATGGGTTTTCTACTGTGTTACCTACTCACTAGTGTCAGTTCAGCAGAAGGTGGTGATGTGAGGTAGACCACAATACCACTTTTTTGGCCATTTTTCTTTTGGCTAGATCAGTTCTCCAATCCTGCTCACAGCAGTGCCCCACGAGCAGCACTGCTGCCACAGCAGGAGGGGAGGTTTGCCATAACACAGGAGTGGAACAAATGGCTGAGGGCAGGAATATTCTGTAACACAGTGTAACAGACCATCCTGATTTTAAAAACCATTTTAATCATTTCTTTATAAAAACTGTATGAAAGAAATTCCACTGGTGCCACTACAGGCTAGCCCCATGCAGTAAAACTGGCTAGAGAGGAAGAGATTTTTGTGGTCAGAATTGCACCTTCAGTTTAAATTTGCTATCTTATCTTTGTCACTTTGATAGCTACCTATTCTTCTCCTACTGTATACTTCCCAATGGACCTTGTGTCCAGAAAATCAATTTTTTTCACCCCAAACTCTGTACTTATTCACATTTTAGGACACTATCTGAAGTAATTTGTCCAAGCAAAATTTTGTCCTTAATCTTCTTTCAGTCAAAAAGTTGCGTAATAATTTGAGAAAGTAAGCTGAGTTTTCTGCATCTGAATTTCATTTTGCACAAAGGATATAAAAACTGGCCTGTAAGCTTGCAGATTTATTGCCAATTTGTGTTTGTAAACCATTTTGACATCCTTGAATAAACAGGTTCAGAAATGCAGCATAAAATAAATCAGGGATTGGATGGTGATTTTAAAATCTCAGGAGCACTGTATAAAGCTATGGTACGATATCCACAAAATCCAATAATAAAACACACACTTCTATTCCTACATTCACCCCAAAACTCATCACCGGACAGATAAAAACCAGGCAAACACCCATTGTTCCCCAAGACGAATGTTGCATTTATAAAAACCTTTCACTTTTGAAATCTGTTTAAATGCTTCTTAGAATTTTTATTTTCTAATTAAAATTAAGTGCAATTATGGATTTTTTCTTTGCCCACATGTATATCAGGATGAAGTTAATATATTTTTGTTTAAAAAAAAAAAGGAGAATAATACACTGAGTCAGAGTTTATACGTCCAGGTAAACGTTTCACTTTTAAAATTATTGACAGGGTTTTAAAAGCAAGTGTTATCATATTATGGAGAGTTACTCTTGCTAATGAGCAGAGAGTGAACTCTCTGTGGTAAAGTAAGGAGGACATAGAGAGAGGAAAGGTAGCCAAAAAGTGATGAAAGTATTTCTCTCAGACATGCATTTAGTTCTATTCCTGCTACATCTACCTATTGCTTTGCTACCTTATTCTCAAAGGGGTGGGAATCTGAATCATTGCCTTTGCTGACAGCAAGTACAACAGCTTGAAAATTATGAATCCAAACACTGTGTTGGCTATGAGGAGAAAATTTAGCGTAGAAATACCCCAGCTAATGACAAAAGATTGTTAAACCAATCGAACATACTACTGTCATTTGCAGGTCTGTGGTTACAAAGAAAAACCCATGCCACGACTCTACTATCAAGACACCTGCAGACAGAGGGTAGGGAATGGCAGTTGTGTACTGAGGAGAACAACTCTGCCGCCAGGCCTGGGGAGACAGTTTTATTTCAGTGTAAACAGGTGCACACTCTAATTCTGAATGCTCTGGTTCATGATGAGATCAAATTCAACATCAAAAAATGAGACTAGATATGCTTTGGGTCATACAGTACAACTTTCAGGAAAACAAAATAATGAAAAGAATGAAATATAAGTAGGAACAGTTTAGCACCTCTTTGAAACCCCATGATTTTATGGCACCACTGGCTAACTTTTAAGAAGTTTTAGTTACACATCTAAGTGTCACATCTTCCAAAATCCTATTAGTGTACTCATTTTCAAAGGCAATAATTGCTTCTCAGCATGATTCCTCTGTGCACATCAAAACACTCAAAAGAGGAAACAACATCAACTATACAGTTGAATTATATTTTTAGCACAATTAGTAGACCGCAAGCGAGCAGGGACTCCAGCAAACTGCTTCTGAAGGTTTCATGGGATCCTTCGATATTACTTAATCAAGTGATTCAGTCTTGACTATAATAAGAATAATGGAGCAGATGGTTTTGGTCATAGGTTTGGGAGTTAGGTTGGGTCAATCTTATCTCTCTTTTCTTCTACTAAAAGAAAAATAAATGATTCTTTTTCTGATATGCTTCCAGCTTCTGACAACAGTCTGGTCAGTCTCTGAAGCAGACTATTCTCTGCTTAGGACTGATAGACACCTCATTCACTTTCTTTATCAACCATGCACGAGATGTAAGCTAGAAGAAGTTAATCACCTGTCATGTCTTTTCATGTCTTCTCACGTCTTTGATTGGTAACCTGTCAAATGCCAGTTAGATACAAAGATTTATTTTTAAGCTCAGTTCCTCATGTTTAAGTACGTTATCAATTATCCGACATTTGAAGCGGAAACTTTGTTGTGACAGATCTGGACTTCTATTCACACCAAGCAGAAGAATTTTACATTCCTTTAGCAATGAAGGCCTTTTAGCTACTTATTCTCTACTATTTGAAAAAAACCCCAAACATCCAATATTTAATATCCTTAAATTAATTAATTTCATCTATCATCCTCTGTACTATACAAATTGCTACAGTATGAAAATCCAAAAGCTGGCTTTTAAGCATACGTTTTTATCTCTGCATATGAATGCTTTACTCACTGAGTAATACAGACTTTTCCAAATTATAGTTTTATCTCTGCATATGAATACTTAGTTTCTCACTGAGTAATACAGACTTTTCCAAATTATAAGATCCTACGTATAGCTATCTGATCAACTGTTGCATTAAAGATCTTCTTCCTTGCAAAAAATATTCCCTGCTTTTTAACAGATTATTACATGAAATTTAGGTACTAATGATCACAGTTACACTTAACTATTTACCTTTAAAAAAAGACTGTTTTAACATTGAATTACTGTGTAATTTATGTTCCTGATGAAAACTGGAAATCTCGTGGTTTCTGTGCTTAAAAACATTAAAAATATTTTCTCCCTTGAAATATGAATTAAACTCAAGACATTTTAACAACAATATGTGCAAATACCTTACCAAATGCCCAGTCATTCCTAACTAAATAAATCATGATTTCTAGCAAACTGAGAAAACTACATGAAACAGTCTATGATGATTGACCTCCTTACCAAAATTTAAATAGTTTAGGTCTTGCAAAGTTACTAAATATTCTATTGTGACTACGAAGCAAATGTTCTTATATTCAGTAATAATGAATGCATTGATATATAGTACTTTAGTCCATTGGTTGATAATAATTTAATCCATTGGACTTTGTCAAATTAGACAGACTTCTATTCCTAGTCATAATACTGATCTCTGCCTGGTGCCGTTACAACATTTCCTTCAAAGTTCTGGAGTTTCATTAATTTTATTAGTTTCTCTTTTGGTTTTAGTTGTTTGTTTAAATGTACTTCTCTCTGACAGTAAACCAAGCTTTGTAAAGGACATAATTTGACCTCCTTAATTGACTAGGTCTTTGCATATCAGCTAGAGACTTACCTCTTTTTATGCTTTCTGTACAGTGTGGTATTTTTTTCTTGCAGCCTACCCACACTGGGTGGAGAAACTTAATGATACTCAGTTAGACAGTGGAGATCAGCTCCGATGGGAATGTAAAGCCACTGGAAAGCCAAGACCCACATATCGTTGGCTGAAAAATGGAGCTCCTCTCTGGCCACAGGTACATTAGACAAGGAGTCTATTGTTGCATGTTTCTTCATAACAATATGTTGCATGTTTCTTCTTTCATTCAAAGTCAGTTAAAGAAAGTACTGAAAAGTACTTCAGAAATTACTGTTTTCTGTATTAGTTTCTTAAGTGTTAGTATACAGACAGGTTTTCTATACATGTCCCCTCTGAACCACCTCAAGCATTCATCAGTAATTCTCCATTTTTCCGAAATATTTGGGAGACATGACCTCCTGATCTTGGTCTGCAACAGCATCTACCATTGTACTATAATGTACTATAATGTACAGTATGTTTAATATTTTTCCTTTTAGATAGTGATATTATATAATTTGTATCTTAATTTTTTTCTTTATAAAAAGATAGCAATAACTCTGCTGATGGAGCAGATCATCCTGAGTTCCATTATGCAGCACATGCAGGACAACCAAGAGTTCAGGGCCAGTCATCATGGGTTTATGAAGGGCAGGTCCTATTTAACAAACCTGATCTCCTCCTATGACAAGGTGACCCACTTGTCGGATGAGGGAAAGGCTGTGCATGTCTTCGACCTCGACTTTAGTAAGGCATTTGACACTGTTTCCCACAGCGTTCTCCTAGAGAAATTACTGCTCTTGGTTTGGAAGGGCAAACACTATGTTGTGTGAAAAACTGGCTGGATGGCCAAGCCCAGAGAGTTGTGGTCAATGGAGTTGAATCCAGTTGGCGGCTGGTCACAAGTCGTGTCCCCCAGGGCTCAGTGCTGGGGACACTCTTGTTTAACATCTTTATTGACAATTTGGATGAGGGGATGGAGTGCACCTTTAG